CTGTGAGGCGCAGGTAGACTCTGCACCTGTGCGGTTTAACGGCAGCGTTCGCACCACGGCGCTGCCTTTTCGCCTCACTGTGGATGCTGGTTTCAACGCTGCGGGAGAAATGAATCTATGTGGGCAGCACACCGGAGACACGTACAGCCAGCTGCTGCTGAAAGCTGAGCCCCTAGCTCTTTCATTTGCACATAAAAGCGGCATATCAACAGCTCATAAGCTCCCAAGTGGGGAGTCCTCTGCTGGTTTAAAGAACATATTTGAAGGTTTCCTGACTCCAAGCGATCAATTATTGTCTTGGGAAGTAAAGTCTAAACTGAACGACTGTGCTTACAACCAGGCAACCAGTATTTCCAACAATCCAGAGAAAGCTGAATTGGAGTTTTCAGCAATAATGTTAGAAGATTTACGAGAAAATGCAAAATTCAACATGTCTGGTTTCCTGCAGTATGATAAGAACAGTGACTGTCATATCATCGAGATTCCACTCATCGAGAGCTTTCCTGCAGCTTTTCAGCAGCTCAAAAACACACTGGTTCAAACCTTAGAGTCGCTGCAGCAGGTCATCCGCGACGTAGATATCGACGGGCTCATCAGCAACTTTAGAGAAAAACTAGAACGGCTGCCGACACAAGTGAGTAACTTCATGCAAGAGCTAGACTTGGAGAACAAAGTAAATCACGTGAAAGTGAAACTTGATGATTGGATCGGTGCCTCCGCCATCACGATGAATGACTTGGAGCTCGCTGTGAAGAACCTGAGGAAGAATTTAGAAACTACAGTAACGGACATCATCACCACAATTCAAAAGCTCATTTTTTCCGTTGAAGAGTACGTCAAGGGTGGACGTCTTGAAGCCCAGATAACAAATGTTCTTTCTGATGTCGGAAATCACATGAGGGCCTTCGATGACCAATATCAAATTAAGCGGTCATTTCTCAGAGTTCTTGATATCATCGAAGACATTATGAAACAGATCGATTTCCAGAAACTCCGGGTAACCGGTGCTGTGTTTCTCCAGGAGCTAGACTCCAAATATGAAATCTTGGAGACGATTAAAACCAAACTATCAGAACTGAAACGAGTCATTGAGGATTTTAACATCAAGTCGATTTTTGAGGATCTGAAAGAGTATCTCCTTTCAATTGACTGGGCTGCGCATGTTGAGCAGTTATCTTATAATATCCCCCCTTCAGAGATAGCAAAAGTCATGGAGTCTGTCCATGATGTTATCATCAACTGGATCGATGAATATGAAATCCCCAACAAAATCAATGAAGTGTATTTCTACATCAGGGATCTTGTTTTAAAATACGACCTCGATGATATATTCAAACAGCTGATGGATCAGGTAGTGATTCTGGTCGAGCAGTTTAAAATTGAAAAGACTGTGCAGTCACTGGTAGAAGCTTTGAAGTCTGTCAAATTTGAATATATTTATGATAAAATAATGCAATTTCTGTCCAGTGTGACAAATCAGCTCAGAGCGATCGACTTCAAGAAGAGCATCGATGACCTTAACAAATATATTTCTTCGACTCTTAAATCAATGAGGACATTTCGGTACGGTGCCTTCGTTGATGACGCTAACAAGAAGATTGCTGAACTAACAAACGACATCAACGAGCAGATTAAAATATATGAGCTGGTGAAAAAAATTGAGGCTGTTCGGGACTTTTTCAGAGAGATCCAAACTTCCATTTTTACGTATTTGGATGAACTAAAAAACACCAAAGTGGCTGATGCTCTAAAAAGACTGAAAAATGTGATCGATACTACATTTTACAACGACATCAAACTGAAGGTGCAGGATATCCTTGAGGATGCAAGGGAGAGAATTGTTGACATGGACATCAGAGGCGAACTGTATTTATTCCTCGAAAGAG